CAGTTAAGTTTGCTCTCCCTGGCCGACATAGAGCGCGTACCAGTCAACAACAACGTTTTTACGACCTTAAGAGCGAATGTCTTTAAGGATCAAACAATGGTGGCAGGGGTCAAAAAATCGATTTCGCTCAAACTTTGCACAGTGATAGTACTTGGCCCACAACCCCTCAAAATAGCTTTCTTTCCGGTCAGCACCGATCGTTGCCATGGTAACGGGCCAAACAAGTTTCGGGGCCATTTTCCCTGATTTAGACATGTGAAAAACATGAAATTTGGCATAGTTTAAGGCACGATTACGAGCAAGTGCTTTAATATTATAGAAAAACAAAGTATGGGCATGAAAGACCAACTAATCCGCTATTCTAGAATAGCTTTGAAATTTTCAAGAAGTTCGTTTAAAGGACCTGGGCAACCCTAACACAATACAGTGTTTGAGGCTTATGAAAAAGCGTTATTTTTTCCCAACTTCAAAGTGCTATAAGTCCAAAGATGGTGATTTTTTTTGCTTCAAATTTGAATCATAGATACATTAGCATATGTGCTATAAAATGCATGGTTGCAAACTTTGGGCACTTCTTTGGTTGTCACGTGGTTGGCCTTAGAAGTAGGTCAAATTTTCAATTTGAGGGAAAATATGATTTTCAGCCATGTTCAGGATACAATATCTACAAAAGAAAGAAAGCAATCTGATAAAGTCTTTTGCCCAAAGTAACACTATGTCTTGTTTATTAAATGAATACTTGTGGAGGTTGGGGTCTTGTGTCGTTGGTGTGGGGTCGTGTGGCGCAATCGGTAGCGCGTTCGGCTCACACCCCAGAGGTCGTGGGTTCGAACCCCACCCGTGTCACCGATCTTGTGCCCTTGGGAAAGGTACTTTACACGACTTTCCTCACTTCACTCAGGTGGTAATGAGTACCTAGCTTCGGCTAGGGACGTCCCTCGGATAGGACGTTAAATGGAGGTCCCGTGTTTGGGGAGAGCCACACCCCACGCACGTTAAAGATCCCACCACACCTTTCGAAAAAGAGTAGGGGCATGCCCCGGTGTGCGATGGTACAAACACTACTGTATGGAGTTGGTGATTCACTTCAAATCACCCGAATGGAGGCCTGGCGAACCTCTGTTCCGTATCAGCCACATGGTGATTACATCACCACACATGGTGATTACATCATCACCCGGACGGAGGCGTGGCGAACCCCGTCTTGTATTAAGCTAACGAAAGGGTATGCCACCTCGTAAGGGGCGGTATAACCCCGACCAATACGGTCGACCGATGATGATGATGATGATGATGATGTCGTTGGTGTGCACTTGTCCCTCAAAGTAGGCCATGTTTTGGACATTTACAGAAATTTACATATACGGCTATGTTTGAAACTCTAGAAATAACAAAGTAGAATGTCATTTGAATTCAATCTTTGCAGGGAAGTACATATATGTATTGTATATCAAATGAATACTTGTGGAGGTTGGGGTCTTGTGTCGTTGGTGTGCACTTGTCCCTAAAAGTAGGCCATATTTTGGACATGTACAGAAATTGACATATACGGCTATGTTTGAAGCTCTAGAAATAACAAAGTAGGATGACATTTGACTGCAATCTTTGCAGGGAAGTACATATACGTATTGTGTATCAAATGAATACTTGTGGAGGTTGGGGTCTTGTGTCGTTGGTGTGCACTTGTCCCAAAAGTAGGCCATATTTTGGACATGTACAGAAATTGACATATACGGCTATGTTTGAAGCTCTAGAAATAACAAAGTTAGATGCTATTTGAATTCAACCTTTGCGGGGAAGTACATATATTTATAGTATATCAAATGAATACTTGTGGAGGTTGAATTCTTGTGTCGTTGGTGTGCACTTGTCCATAAAAGTAGGCCATATTTTAAACATGTACAGAAATTGACATATGTTTGACATATGTTTGAAGCTCTAGAAAGAACAATTACAAACTTAGATGCTATTTGAATTCAATCTTTGCGGGGAAGTACATATATGTATTATGTATCAAATGAATACTTGTGGAGGTTGAGGTTTTGTGTCGTTGGTGTGTACTTTTCCCTAAAAGTAGGCCATATTTTGGACATGTTGAGAAATTAGCATATACGGCTATGTTTGAAGGTCTAGAAATGACGAAGTAGGATGCCATTTTAATTCAATCTTTTAAGAGGAGTATATATATGTATTGTGTATCAATTAAGGGCTTGTGGAGGTTGGGGTCTTGTGTCGCCGTTGTATACATGTCCCTAAAAGTAGGCCATTTTTAAGAGCAAATGTCTGCAATGATCAAACAATAGTGAGCGGGGTCAAAAATCGATTTTGCTCATATTTTGTACAGTGATAGTACTTCGCCCACAACCCCTTGAAATAGCTTTCTTTCCGCTCAAACCCCATCGTTGCCATGGCAACAGCCCATTCAAGTTCTGGGGCCATTTTGACAGATTTATGCGTCTCTAAAACACGGAAATTGGCAAAGTTTAGGACGCGGTCACCGCCAACTGCTTTAACGTAACGACAAATACTTCAGGATATAATTAGCTTGGCTTAACTTGTACGAAATTAGTGTGAAGTCCATGTACATGCAGATTTCAGTCTTTGGGCAACCTCGAAGTAGGTCATTTTCTGCACTTGTACCCAAATTTGGATTTTGGGCTGTTTTTGAGCTGATGAAAATACCAAAGTGAATTTATTTTCAGACCTCTCCTTCTACCATGTGTTTATTATAGTATTGGCTATCACATGGGTGATTTTGAGGGCTTCCTTTTTTGTTCATGTCGCATATGCCTATTTCTGTAAATGTTTAAAATATGGCCTACTTTTAGTGACAAGTATACAACAACGACACAAGACTCCAACCTCCACACGCCCTTATTTGATACACAATACATATATGTGTACTCCTCTTAAAATATTGAATTAAAATGACATCCTACTTCGTCATTTCTAGACCTTCAAACATAGCAGTTTTTGCTAATTTCTGTATGTACGTCCAAAAGATGGCCTACTTTTAGGGAAAAGTACACACCAACGACACAAAAACTCAACCTCCACAAGTATTCATTTGATACACAATACATATATGTACTTCCCCGCAAAGATTGAATTCAAATAGCATCTAAGTTTGTAATTGTTCTTTCTAGAGCTTCAAACATATGTCAAACATATGTCAATTTCTGTACATGTTTAAAATATGGCCTACTTTTATGGACAAGCGCACACCAACGACACAAGAATTCAACCTCCACAAGTATTCATTTGATATACTATAAATATATGTACTTCCCCGCAAAGATTGGATTCAAATAGCATCTAACTTTGTTCTTTCTAGAGCTTCAAACATAGCCGTATATATCAATTTCTGTACATGTCCAAAATATGGCCTACTTTTAGGGACAAGTGCACACCAACGACACAAGACCCCAACCTCCACAAGTATTCATTTGATATACAATGCATATATGTACTTTCCTGCAAAGATTGAAGTCAAATGACATCCTACTTTGTGATTTCTGGAGCTTCAAGCATAGCCGTATATGTCAATATCTGTACATGTCCAAAATATGGCCTACTTTAGGGACAAGTGCACACCAACGACACAAGACCCCAACCTTCCCAAGTATTCATTTGATATACTATACATATATGTACTTCCCCGCAAAGATTAAATTCAAATGACATCCTACTTTGTTATTTCTAGAGCTTCAAACATTGCCGTATATGTAAATTTCTGTAAATGACAAAATATCGGCCTACTTTTAGGGACAAGTGCACACCAACGACACAAGACCCCAACCTCCACAAGTATTCATTTAATAGACAAGACATAGTGTTACTTTGGGCAAAAGACTTTATCAGATTGCTTTCTTTCTTTTGTAGATATTGTATCCTGAACATGGCTAAAAATCATATTTTCCCTCAAATTGAAAATTTGACCTACTTCTAAGGCCAACCACGTGACAACCAAAGAAGTGCCCAAAGTTTGCAACCATGCATTTTATAGCACATATGTTAATGTATCTATCATTCAAATTTGAAGCAAAAAAAACCCCCATCTTTGGACTTACAGCACTTTGAAGTTGGGAAGAAATAATGCTTTTTCATAAGCCTCAAACACTGTATTGTGTTATGGTTGCCCAGGTCCTTTAAACGAACTTCTTGAAAATTTCAAAGCTATTCTAGAATAGCGGATTAGTTGGTCTTTCATGCCCATACTTTGTTTTTCCATACTAATGAAGCACTTGCTCGTAATCGTGCCTTAAACTATGCCAAATTTCATGTTTTTCACATGTCTAAATCAGGGAAAATGGCCCCGAAACATGTTTGGCCCGTTACCATGGCAACGATCGGTGCTGACCGGAAAGAAAGCTATTTTGAGGGGTTGTGGGCCAAGTACTATCACTGTGCAAAGTTTGAGCGAAATCGATTTTTTGACCCCTGCCACCATTGTTTGATCCTTACAGACATTCGCTCTTAACGCTCACATACTTGGTGACCAAGGGTGGCGAGCCCACTTTGCGGCACTGTCGTGACTATTTGGTCATAATTACAGGAAACGGAATTTCTTGTTTTTTTTTTTAGGAACAGGCCAAAATCAATGCGCACGCGGACGTCATCCATAAAATTTACTTGCTGTGGCCTAACACACCGAGGGAGTTTAGCCATCCAGTTTACAGTTTGCCGGTCTTTTGAGGCTATCATTAACGCACCACAGCCCTGTTAAATTTGTACCGTCTTCTTATGGTATCTCTCTATGATAAGTGCGTATGAGTTGCGTACGGACAATTTTTTTCATACGCATCCGTACGCAAACTGCGCACTTCATGTTTATCTCCGTCGTTTTATGTAAGTTTTGTGTTAAATTAATGTCAGCATACGCACGGCACACGCACAGACCGGCTCAGTACGCAGTGTAGTTTTGGGCATGCTTTTTATCGAGTTACGAATCAGCCAAATAGCCAACTACAGCCGACCTTACTCCCGACCTACTCCTTTCCATGGGTTCGGCAGATCGGAGACAATATTCTGCAATGTGTGACAGGGGCTTAAGGGGAACACGAGAAAGGAACATTCTTATTGAATCTCTCAACAAGAGTGGATTGACCGGTTTTACCGCCATGCCAAATTGCATCTGCATATTTCAGACTAGGACTCATAAAGGACTAGTTCCTAAAATATTTAATTTCAGAGCTATAAGAACACTGACTTGGAAACATTACTACATAGATAGTTTGGGTGGTATTTCAAAGAAATATCAAATTTCAGAACTGTAATATTCTCGTCAATTGCAATTAGCCAAGAGTTAACATTTGCATTAAACTGATAGTTATTGAAAGGAAATACCTTTAGATTCCAGCAAAATCCGTCTTGTTGGGTTTCACGGACTAAACGAAGGAGTTGTCGAAGTTCGACCGGCCGACAGTTGGCCTTGGGGCGGAGTCTGTGCTGAACACTTCGACCTAAGGGACGCAGACGTTGTTTGCAGAATGCTGGGCTACATCTGGGCAAACGACTTTATGTCATCGTTAGGTACGATTCGTCTTCTGTTGTCTCACGTAACGACTTTCTTTACGCATTCGTATTCAAACTTATGAAGCCTTTTTGTATGCTTCTATGATGACCTTTTTAAAATCTTCCCAAAATTGTTTTTTTTTAGATAGACAAGGGCTGGCCTACATGGCTGACCTACGATGCAATGGAAACGAGAGCAGCCTGTTTAACTGCTCGTACGCAGGATGGGGGAGTCACGACTGTGGATATAGACGATATGCCGGCGTTGTCTGTGGTACATTGATTAAGTATTCATTATAATATCAAAGTTTTGGTTCGATGAAATAAGTAAGTAAGTAGGAATTTAAAGTAAAATGAAATAAACCAATAAAATATAGGGCTTTCAAGTCCATTGCCCGCTAAACTACAAAATGATAATGTATAGTCAAGGGCTCAGATTTAACGCCTTACGCTTTATTTCTATGTCATTTATAACACATTGCAAGTTCCCACCTCAATTTTCATCATGTACATATGAGTGTGATGATATATTTAGATCCCAGCAGAATCCGTCTCTTTGGTGGTTCCGGGCCTAACGAAGGACGCGTGGAAGTCCGACCAGAGGACGGTATGACCTGGGGCACAGTTTGCCACAACCGTTTCAACATGGACAATGCAGACGTTGTTTGCAGAATGCTGGGTTATCTTAACGCTACCCAGGTTCAAAATGATGCATATTTTGGCCAAGGTAAGATCTTCATTTTGTTAGTTATGTTGATTTGTTTTTATATGTCTTTAAGATCGTTTTTGGACTTGCTGATGCACACTTTTAAAACACAGGAACAGGTACCAATCTACATGGATGACCTACGATGTGATGGTAACGAGACCAGCCTCTTTAACTGCTCTTACGCAGGGTGGACGATTCACGACTGTGACCATGGCCAAGATGCAGGCGTGGTCTGTCGTACAGGTACGTTCATTTTAATCCGTATACTCAGCGTACGTAACTGGGGTACAAATGTACCCCAGCGCTATGGTGTTTCACATTCGCCTAGAGGGAATCGGCCCGGAATCCATGGATCTTTGGTTAGATTTTACCTACATGCCCCGACGTTGTCCCTTCGGAAAAGGCACTTACAAGGCTTTCGTCACTTCACTCAAAATTAGTACTTAGATTCAGTTAGGTTCCTCGGATAGGACATAAAATGAAGGTTCCGAGAACCACACTTCACCACACCTTTCGAAAATGAGTAGTGGCATGCAAGTTGGTGATTACTACAGAATACCCAAAGGAGGCCTGGCGAATCAACGTTTCGTATTAGCTACAAAAAAGATGGACGATGGGCATTACCGCCAAAAGAAGGAGGATGTTAAATATGTTTTGGGTAGCGTTTGGTTATTTAGATGTGATTTAGCACGATAACTCAAGAACGACCACCTCATTCATCAGGATAATTAATGACCAATCACTTTCTAACGGAAATGCGCGAGAGTTACAGTTACATAGACAGGACCTTATGAGACATAAATGATATGTGACGTCAACAGTTCATCAAACGTGACAGGAAATTATTTCGTCCTCCGTCTCTATTACGTTTGTTGACGTCACGTATCTGTAAAGTGAATAAGGTCTCGTGTCTGTAACAGTATGCAAGTGATAGGTCATTAATCATTATCTTAAGGGCGACAGTGTTGGTTAAAATTTTATTCTTGTGTGCTATTTTTGTTGGAATGAAATTTAGCATCGTAACATGATAAACAGTGATGCATTGTTCTAATTGGGAAAAATTGACCATTGGTAATTTTTGTTAATTGTCTAGAAAACCCTTGTTTCTTTTCTTTCGGCCCATAACCCTTGACACGATCACGTGATTCGCCATTCGACTTGACTATACGCGGGTGCCGGTCGTTCTTTTGTTTGTCTCTTCACCCACCACCGCCCCTTCATCCGCCTTGTTAATTATAAGTTTTACCTAGTGAGTTGTTTCACAATATAGTTTATGATATTGGTGTTTGTTTCGGAAAAGTCACAAATTAAAGCTTTTCCCTTTTTCCGGCCAAACTGTGTCTGATTTGTCTTATGTTTTCTGAGTTTTTGTATGATAATTAAAAAGATTTACTCTGATATTGTTAATAGGGATGATTGTTTCATTTTCAGATTCCAGCAGAATCCGTCTTGTCGGAGGTTCCGGTCCAAACGAGGGGCGTGTGGAAGTCCGGCCGGCCGACAGTTCCAGATGGGGCACAGTTTGTCACAACGGTTTCGACTTGAAGGATGCAGAAGTTGTCTGCAGGATGCTGGGCTATCCGAATGTATATGGAGTTCGCCCTGATGCCTATTTTGGCAGAGGTACAACTTTCCTTTACACATCGGAGTATTTATAATAATGATAATGCACATCATTTAAAACTATTTTCTCAGTGTATTGTACTTATGAAATTAAGAAATCTCAGATTCCAAACCTCCGCTCCGGAAATACATAATGCACAATGACTGCTGACAATTTCTGACATCACATTAACAGCATCGTTATTATATAAAGGTTCATCTGTGTTGGTAGAAGTCATTATGAAACAGGTTTAACCCTACCTAGACAGGTCTTTTTTTGGGCATGGGGGGGAAGGGGGGGGGGTCATTTGACCCCCCCTCAGAACTCGCGAACGGTATGTCGTATGACCACCAAATTGTCAGAGGATGGTGTACTAGTAAAATTTTATTATATCTACAATTTTAATGTCGTTATGACGTAATATGACGTCATTAATGTGATTTTATTGGCCAAAACAGTCTAAAAAGGGTTTTTCCCTGAAAACTAAATGGTATTCAACATAACTTTACCAAAAGTGCTTATGACAGAATATTAGGGTGTACTAAGTCTTATGTTGCCCATAGCAACACCGGTGACGTCATAAAATGACGTCATGCATATTTAAGATATCCGCCATCTTGGTTCATCAATCTTGAATTTTCAAAAATAGTTTTTTATAATGATAAAGCCTAAAATACATTGTAAACATACTGAATACCTTCATTTAAACCATTTTTGAAAAAAAGAAATGGAGGAAAGAAAAGGATGAAATTTTAATGAAAATAACCTGTATATACCTGTTCTAATGATATGGTCCGCCATCTTGGATTTTGGCCAATGACGTCATCAAATTAGCATTAATTGTGCATATCGGTTGTCCCGAAAATCGTGTTTTAGGGATTTTTCAAAAATGGCCTCAATTATGGGTAATTTAGTGAGAAAAATGTCAAAAAATGCCATTTTTTCACCAATATGTCGACAAAAACTAGACTTCAAATCAGAAATTAAAAAATCCCTAAAACACGATTTTTTATCTTATTCCTAGTCTGCGAAAAATATAAAAATCAGGGATCTGGGGTAATATACGTAGCCAGGTTTGAACGATGTTTGCCTAAAAACGTGACATTACTTGTGCTCGGAAACCCGAAAATAATCGTTTTTCTGAGCGAAATTTTAAAAAATCAGTGATTTAACATAAAAAGCTAACATTTAAAGGATGTTAAGACGATAATTTCATTTTAATTTGACGAAATTTACCCCTAAATATTATTTCTTTATTTTCAAATATTTTACGGGTAGTCCAAAACAGGCCAAAATAGCGTCTTGTAACCCGATACCTTTTCGAACGCGCATAGCAATGGGAAAGAATACCGTAGTGACAGACCGCCGTGAATGGTTGTAATTCCCTGATGTGGATAGCTTCTTTAATCCCTTGTGCGAAAAGGCCCGATTCTGCACAGGGGATGAATCCGCAGCCCGCACACAGAGAGACTTTTGCATGCACTTAAAGTGCTACGTCGTGTGTCTGAATGCAGCAAATCTGTAGGATTCCGTACGAAGGCGGTACTCACCACATACAGATCCACAAAATTTGCCCACGTTTTTCACGTAGACAGCATGTAGTTGCGCGTACGGCGGATAGTGACCCTCGCTTAACGTGGGTAATACCTTTAAAATGTATTAATGAATTAGAATTGGAAAATTATTGCAATGACTACATCTGATCTGTTTTTTTATAACTTTTTTTTAACTTTTAGGAACGGGACCGATCTACATACAAGACCTACAATGTGATGGGACAGAGAGTAGCCTGTTTAACTGTTCGCACGAGGGATGGCGGAATCATGACTGCGATCATAGGGATGACGTCGGCGTTGTTTGCGGTACGTGCATTGAACACTTGGTGATTTGTTACCATTTCAACGTTTGGCGTTTGATGAGAAGACATGTTTAACTAACACATTAGCAGCACTAACAAACATCCTGGCAGCTGGCTAAACCTGTGGTTTATTGAGGTTTATCGTGTAACAACTCTCCTTTAGCTGACAGTTTTTCTTCCAGGAGAGGGGATGGAGCTGCCAAAAACCACACTCGATAGGCATTCTTTCGGGAGAGCTGGCTAAAACTTGATTTAGTGTTGTTCATGAAACCTGCTTTCTACTAGAGGGCTTTTAACCCTATTCAG